TAGGGTGCTTGTTGAAAATACTTGGATATTCTGGCTTCTTTCCTTGATATCAGATTGCAAATGGGCATTTTTACTAGTGATGCTTTCCAAAAGTAAACCTCTAGGGAAATGTGCAATGTACAATGGTGGGGATAGCTTACCAAAATGAGGACCACTTAAGAGTCGTTTCATGACTACAGGCCTTACTTCTTTTAGAAAGTAAAGGGGCTCCTTGCCTTGCACTATCCCTGCTCCCCTTAAACTCCCTATTTACCTTAAAATCCTTAAAATGTTGCAAATCACATGCTATGACTTCCTTTTCATGTAATTGCATTAAAGATTAACATTAGTTATACAATGATACTTTTTACTAAAAAAACACAGATTGTGGAGGAAAAGCTTCCTATATAATATAGCTTATTAATGTAACCTTTTTGTTATTTTCACATTCCCCATGCACCTGGGGGTTCACTTGGGAGTCATCTTTTACACTCTGAGGCCTAGATAACCCATGAGTCCATTTCTTTTAGAACAATGACTAACTAGGATACAACTGTATATTATAGGTGTGTGTGTCTATGACACCGATGTCATCAGATCAAGAAATGGTCTGAGTAATAAATATCTTCATCTTTTTTTTAAAGATTTTATTTATTTATTTGACAGAGAGAGACACAGCAAGAGAGGGAACACAAGCAGAGGGAGTGGGAAAGGGTAGAAGCAGGCTTCCTGCGGAGCAGGGAGCCCAATGCGGGGCTCGATCCCAGGACCCTGAGATCATGACCTGAGCAGAAGGCAGACACTTAACGACTGAGCCACCCAGGCACCCAAATTTCTTCATCTTAATGACTAATCTGTTAAGATTATAGAATGAAATTAAAACTTAGTTCTTTACAAGATACAGTAAAAATAGCAGATAAAAATAAAGGAAAAACAAGGGTATAAACCTTTAGACAGAGCCTTACAGGCTTAACTGAAAGTTGGTTTAGGGTACAGTATAAAACTGTAGAGTGAAATAAGTCAAGCAGAGAAAGACAATTATCATATGGTTTCACTCATATGTGGACCATTAGGAATAGTGTGGAGGACCATAGGGGAAGGGAGGGAAAACTGAATGGGAAGAAATCAGAGAGGGGGACAAACCATGAGAGACTCTGGACTCCAGGAAACAAACTGAGGGTTACAGAAAGGAGGGGGGGTGGGGAGATGGGGTAGTCAGGTGACGGGTATTAAGGAGGGCACGTGTTGTGATGAGCACTGGGTGTTACACACAACTAATGAATCGTTGAACACTAGCTCAAAAACTAATGATGTACTATATGTTGGCTAACTGAAAATTTAAAAAAACTGTAGAATTAATATTCTTTAGAGGAAAGAAGCAACTGTCTAGAAAGAGGGGGCAACTTTATACAGATTCATTAGTTGGACACATTTATTTAACAATCTAATTGAATTTAGTTTTCACAGCAATTTTTTTTTTCTCTCAATTAGAACTTCTCAGTACTGTACAGAATTACAGTTCTCAGGAAAGGGTAGTCTTGGACATAAAGGTAGATTATATTTTACAGAGTTCTAATGAATTTATAAACATCCTTCCCCCTCTTTTGATGTTAGGTGAAGTTTAATTAACTAGCAAAAATACATTTCAAAAGTGTCATCTCTGGATGGTGGTATTACTGGGAAGAACACTTAAACCTTCTAATGCTCTATACTATCTTTGAAAGTATTCCTGCTGGGGAAGATATTTGGTTTAGTACTCCAAAAGGCAGACATAAAGGTTTGTTCTAGTCAAAGTCCCCAAAACTTCAGGCAGTATGCCAATCCTAAATAACCACTGTGAATTCCATATTTACTGAATTTTCTGTTAGAGTTTTTTATCAATGTAGTAGAATATTTAGCTGCCCTAGGTTCTTTTGGAAAGAGTAAAAACATTATCTGTATAGTTCCTCAGGAGGCCTGGTAGCCTGATAAATCTAATACGTGAAAAGATATTAGTTACCAATTTATAAAGGCAAATATTATTTTATTAGGCATATATTATATCTAGTTGAGTAAAATCTTTTAACATTTTTTAAAGATTTTAATTATTTATTTGAAAGATAGAGTGAGAGAGAGAGAGTCTGAGCAAGATGAGGGGCAGAAGGAGAAGCAGACTCCCTGCTGAGCAGGGAGCCTGATGCAAGGCTTGATCCTGGGACTCCAGGATCATGACCTGAGTTGAAGGCAGATGCTTAACTGACTGACCCACCCAGGCGCCCCTTGAATAAAATCTGCTTGTAGGGCGCATGGGTGGCTCAGTTGGTTAAGCGACTGCCTTCTGCTCGGGTCATGATCCTGGAGTCCCAGGATCGAGTCCCGCATCGGGCTCCCCGCTCAGCAGGGAGTCTGCTTCTCCCTCTGACCCTCCCCCCTCTCATGCTCTCTCTCTCTTTCTCTCTCATTCTCTCTCTCAAATAAATAAATAAAATCTTTTAAAAAAATCTGCTTGTATTTTTCCTCACCCTTTAATTTTTGTCTTGACTTTCAAGCTGATGAAAACTAGTGAATTTCAATAATATTGGAAAAGCTATTACTATGATTTGAGAATAGGAGTCAAAGAAATTCTGAGTATTGGCATGTTTTAGATCATGTTTAGAAGCACATGAAATTTGTTATCTACCTCCCCTAGGATGTGAAAATTTCAATATTTTTCATGCTTGTTTGCCATGTAAATCAACATTACCTTTCTATTTCTTACGTTAATCCTTTACATTTTGTGTCTTTACCAGTTTCCATAGTGAGTGTTTTCTCTTACTCATTATTTCATGTGAGCTTCACAATTATCTGCTGAGACAGAAGATTCCAAACCTTGTATTATAATCAATTATAGAGTATAGTAAACCTCATGGAATATTTTTTTCTTATATCATACCTAAATTACATGTTATAAGTCTGCAATTTTTGCTCAGGTTTCATTGAAAATGGAATAAATCTTTTTACATAGATAAAATTCATTTTGATCATTCTTCAACTTTCTCTTCTCCTGTGCCTGGACACTTTCTTTGCCCAAAAGATATACTTATTAGGTATGTTCTACTTTGAAGCTAACAATAAAATATTAGCAGCAATTATGATGTCTATGAGAGTCCTTTTGTTTGAAAAGAACAAAACCCTACTCATACTAGCTTGAGCAAAACCAAAAGGGTCTGGTAAGACCTCAAGTCAAGGATCATGATTACCATGGAGAACTCAAGGGTAGAAAGTAAAGTTAATACTTAGGAGGAACTGGAATCAAGAAAAATGTTTTCATCTGTTTCACTAGAGGCATATGATCTCTTGTTTCAACTTCCTTTATATATGGCTGTTTTATTCTTCACATTCTCTACACATTGACCTTTTTTCTACTTCTCTAGTCATATGACAGACATAGTTTTTTTGTGGTGCCTGAGATTGCCTATCCCCATTTCAAACAACCAGCAGAAAAACAATAACAAACAAACAAAAAACTTCTGAATTCTAACTCTAAATCCCCAGGAAAGAGAATCTGCCCCAGTTTGGGCCAAATTTCAGCCACCTCCAACCAAGGGACTGGGTAACAGAGTGCAAATGCATCATTGGAAATGGCCACTAGTTCTTGGAAAAGTAGAGGCTAGGAAGATACCTCATAATGTATCTATGATGTCTGTCCTTATAGTTAAATATTAATTCTGAAGTTTTACTTTGGAAGAGGTTCTCACCATGACTTACCCTTAAGCACAAGTGCAGCTAATTAAGTGATACCCCCCCATCAAAATTCCTAAGTGTTCTGTGTTTCTTGGTAAATGCAACTGAAAAATTATAACTTGGTTTTTTATTTATTTTGCTTTTGCTTTGCAGCCAATAAGTACAACTAGTTCATCAAGTGAACCTATATTTTCACTTCAACATGTGTCCCTTCCAATTGAAACAGCACCTGACAAATTTGAATATTTTTCCCTACAAAGGCTCAATACTCTAAGGTAAGCCTCACTAATAACCAGATCTACAAACATACAATCTTAACTTAGAGTAGAATATAGAAATAGTTTGTTTTACTTTCCACTACATTTCTAACATGATATTCAATTCCCAAAATAATGATGCATTAATTAGACAGGTCAAGAAAATAGTACATTGCAAAGAAGTATCCTAGGCAAGCTATTACTTTCAGCTCTGATGGAGAACAGTTAATGTGAGGGTAAATGAAAGTAAGTGTAAAATCTGCTCACACTGATATTCTTCCAATTTGTTCACAAGAATGTTGGTGGTGCTTCTTGTTTTCTACATTCTAATAGATAGAAATATATACTCTATAATATTTTCCTACAGTGAGGTTTTCAACAGAGAAAACATTTGACATTTAACATTTGATGAATATTTTTAAGGTGTTCATGTTTGTCTTTTCTTTAAGTAATGAAAGAGCAGTTATGATGTCACAGGATGAAGGAAGCAAGTCTGAATCAGAAGCTTCTGATACAAAAATTTCTGAAACTTCACCTGGTTCTTTGGACTACAAAAGTCTCCAAGACCTAACAATAGTTGAAAATGACACCCCCCCACCGGACTCTGGCTCTGAAAGATGTGTGATTGATTCTGACTCTGACAGAGGCATTGGTTTGGACTCTGACTTAGAAGAACATTCAAAAGACTCTGAGTCAATAATATGGGGAATGGACTCAGACTCAGAAAAATGTCCCATGGCCTCAAACTCTATGAAATACCTGCTAGAATCAGAAAAATGCCAGATAGCTTCAGGATCTGTGAAAGACTTGATGGAGTCAGAGCAACAACTAGAGGGAATTGAACAATGCCAGATGGACTTTGACTCTTTGAAATACTTGATGGACTCAGACCCAGAAAAATACTTGGCAGACTCTGACTCTGAAAAATATGTGTTGAACTCTGACAATGAAAGATCAGAGATGGATTCAGACTCAGAAAAATGTCCAATTGCTTCTGCATCTTTGAAACACCTGCTGAAGGCAGAAAAATGCCAAATAGCTTTAGATTCTGTAAAACGCCTGATGGAATCTGAAAAAAGATTGATGGAGACCAAACAAAACTGGATGCTCTCTGATTCTAAGAAGTATGTGATGGACTCAGACATGGATAGGGATGGAATGGACTCAGCTTCTGCATCTGAGGTACATCTGATGGGGGAAGGAAAACACCAGGAAAAGATTAGATCTAAGAGATATATAACGGACTCTGATTCTGAACCATGTGAGATGGACTCAGACTCAGAAAGATATGGACTAGCCTCAGCAGCTGTGGAATGTGTCATGGGTGCCAGCACTGACACTGAGGGGTACTGGATGGATTCTTGGTCTGAAAAACGTACAATGGACTTAGATTCTGAAAGCCTGGGAATGGTCTCTGATTCTGATTCTACGAAACACATGATGAAGGCTGAAGATTGCCAAAAGGCCTCTGACTTGGAAGGATTCTGGACGGGCTTCAGGTTTGAATCTAAAAGATGCTTGACTGACTCTGAAAGACAAAAATTGGACTTTGACTCTGGTAGATGTTGGGATAGCTCTAGAAGATATCAATTTAGGTCTAAAAGACTTCAGCGTAGCTCTGGAAAATATAGGGATGATCTTCAAAAACATTGGGTTAGCTTTGAAAGACATCAAATAGACTCCAATTCTGGAAAATATCTAGCAAAATCTGAAAGTGAAAGATACCAAAATGAGTTTGAAAGGGAAACACACATGATAGAGATGGAGAAGGAACAGTGTTTGATATTTGAAAATAGGAGACTTCAAATGGATGAAGAGATGAAAAGATCTCTCATGTGGTCTGACAGTGAACAAGAGCACAAGATTGTATCTGACAATGAAAGACACCACATTGACTCAGAAAATGAAGCACAACGGCTTGGTGCTCGCAAGAAGGGTAATCGTCCTCAGGGTAAGCTTAAACGTGTATGGCTTTTGAAAGCAGCTTATTTACAAGTATAATTAATAACAGGATGACACTTACAATATGTCAGTAGCTTTAACAGATTTGGGTCTGAGATCATTTCATAAGAAACTCAGAGAAAAGGCATTTTAATCCTAGATTTTCATTCACTTTTATTTATTTTTATTTATTTTTATTTTTTAATTTAAATTCAATTAGCCAACATATAGTACATCATTAGTTTCAGATGTAGTGTTTAATAATTCATAAGTTGCATATAACACCCAGTGCTTTTTTAAAAATTAGGCAAATAGGGGAACCTGGCTGGCTCAGTCAGTAGAGCATGCAACTCTTGATCTTGGGGTTGTAAGTTCAAGCCCCACGTTGGGTGTAGAAATTACTAAAAATAAAATCTTTTTAAAAAAATGAGGCAAATCATCTCTCTTTAGTTATTTGCTTCTTAAAAGAAGAAAAAAAATAGAGAATTATTAGCAAAGACAGTTATTGTGGCCTGGAAAACAACACGTTAAATTTTGTTCCCATTATTCTGAAATGGGTGAATAGAGATTGCTCATAAAATTTTCCCCATTATTAGTTGCTGTGAAAAGAAGTAAGTATCCAAGCCTAACTATATAAACATCCAACTTAACTTGCTTCTCTCAAAATTATTATAAAAGCTCCATAATTTTCATAAAATAGTTGGCATTTACCTTGTTACTCACATTTACTTTATCACACTAAATCATTATAATTCCCCATTTCCTAAGCCATTGTATTAAGGTATGCTTAAGATAAAGGAACTATTATCATTTCATAAAGTGTTTTTCTTCATATTAGTCATTTTCCACAGAGTCTTACAATTCAAGGCATGAAAGGAAAACTAAGAACTTGACCCCAAAACATTCATAAGAAAATTTCCCTCTAAAAAATATAACAAGAAGTTTTGTTCTTCAATAAACTCCAGTGACTTTTCTAAAAATAGAGTATTTGAAATAATATATATTTAATGTATGATCAATGTTTCCTATTTTAACATGCTATTTACACATAAGTCTTTGAAATTTGTCCTATATAATACTGACTTCTCCATATCATATTTTTTTAAGTAGAGCAGATCATTAAATCCAACAAAAAAATACTATATATTTTGGGCATTTACTACACAAATTGGTATCCACCCTAGTTGTCAGATAGGTACCTTTATCCTCAAGCCATTAATTCAGTTGGATTAAGTGCGTAATATTTTATTTGAACACTCAGAGGAAAATATTCACCTCATTCTTCATATTCCCTGACAAAAATTCTGATTTCTAGTTAGAAATGCAATTCTATTGGAAAGGATTAAGTAATGTGAGAAATGAATTTTTTTAAAAGATTTTATTTATTTGACAGAGACAGAGATAGCGAGAGCAGGAACACAAGCAGCGGGAGTGGGAGAGGGAGAAGCAGGCTTCCCCCCGAGCAGGGAGCCCAATGTGGGACTCGATCCCAGGACCTTGGGATCATGACCTGACCCGAAGGCAGACGCTTAATGACTAAGCCACCCAGGTGCGCAGAAATGAATTTCTGAGATCCTCTTATAAACCAACATATTGGTAGAGTGGTGAAAGAAGTATGTTACCTTTTATGAAGAGGGGAAAAAAACACTTAAAACAATGAAGAAGATAGCAGGAGGGGAAAAATGAAGGGGGGGAATCGGAGGGGGAGATGAACCATGAAAGACGATGGACTCTGAGAAACAAACTGAGGGTTCTAGAGGGGAGAGGGGTGGGAGGATGGGTTAGCCTGGTGATGGGTATTAAAG